ATACCCTTTAACATAATACAGGGTCAATGTAATTTACATATAAATACCAAAATCACATTTAAAAGACATTGTAAGCAATCTCAAGTACAGTAATACTAATTTTCCACACAGAAAGATAAGATGACACTATATTACTTGCAAAGCAAATAATCTAAAAGTTTAAGAATAGATAAAATGTGTATAGGTCTTAATGTCTTGGCTCATAAGCAAAACCATAACAGAAATATTTTGTCTGATGTGTATTGTTTACCTTTGATATCAGATGGTCTTATGTTCCAGCTCCTACAAATTCCATTTCATAACAAACATCCCAGAGGAGAAACTGGTAACATAGTATCATTCCAGTATTTTATTGTTGTATGCCACGAACTCATCTCTGACTTACGATCTCCAAAACGTCATGTCATGATAGTCCTGTTCAGCTCTTGCGGACTCCAGTATTTTACAATATTTTGTTTTACTTTCAGTCCATTACTTCATCATCAACTGTACTGTAAACTACAAAATTCTTGGAAAGAAATCTGTATTTGTGGAATAACTTTCAATGCATTTACAAGTACAAATAATGTGTGTGTGTGTGTGTGTGCGCGCGCGCACTCACAGGAACTATATCGCAACCAAAATATGACCTATCTTTTACCTTTATTTCTAATAACAGATATACAGTCACACAGATGACTGGTTTCAGATGTATATTTTTTGGCTTGTTAAACAATAATTTAGCAGCTAGGGAAAAAGAGCAAGCCCAAGCCCCTCCCACTTGCTTTTTTGTTTTCCCACCAGTTCTGGTTAACATAAAGTACAGTTCCTATTACATGGCAGTATAGAAAGCTGCCCTATACCAAGTGAAGGCATTGATCCATATAGCCCAGCACAGTCGTCATCAACTGGTAGTGGCTCTCCATGGTTTCAGGCTGGCCTTCTTCCAGCTCCACCTAGAGATCCCAGAGTTTGACTGAACTTGGGATGTTCTGCATACATACTCGTAGCTAGTGATCCATCACTGAGTTATGGCTTCTCCCAACTTTTGAAACAGAAAACTGGGGTTTAGTAGATCCGATATAATGAGAAACAGCTTTAGATGGCTGAGAAAGCAAGATAACAAAGAAGAGTACACATATGTATGTATCTGGCTGCTAAACTATGGCAATCCAAGACATGATGTCTGAACCAAAACATATTTTTCAGTTTCATTTGACTGAACTTGTATTGATCATGAGAGATGTTGGGAAGCCTATACAAAAAGCAAGCATAATGACTGAAGGATTAGAGCATTCTGAGGCTTCGGTGATTAGGTTTGTTTAGCTTAAGGAAAAAGATGACTGCATGGTACAGGTATATAAAATTATGTATTATGTTTAGAAAGTAGATACTTTTCATGCTCCTGTATAATTCTAGAACTCTAGGTCACCCAACAGAATTGATAGTCTCAATCTAGCCATGAGAAAACCTAGTTGATGTTGATGGCACAGAATTTTCTTCTCAAGGAAGAGTAGAATTGCATTTCCCACTATCTAAAAATTTAATCTCTTAAAAATGTAAGAGATTAGACAAAAGTGCTATCAAGTCTATTAATCTGTTCCAGTGGTGACCAACTAGAATGTCTAGGGCCTAAGAACAAGCATTATTATATTACATTCATAACATACCTTTTTATCTTGCAAGGCATCTAAGGCAGCTTACATTGTCCACTTTCACTCCATTTTATCATCACAACAGCCTTGTGAGATTAGGTTAGGCTGAATGTGGCTGACTGGACCAGTCACCCAGTAAATTTCAAGGTCAAGCAGGGACTAGCATCTAGATCTCCCAAGGCTCTGGTCCAACACACTGGCTTTCATTCAGGCATTGATTGGTTGATTTACAACAAGTGGTATTCAAATACACCTCTGATCCTGGAGGCTTCATATAGTCTTTATAGCTACTACCTAACATTTGGTGTATGCTATTTTGAAGATGTATAGGTCTCTGTCCATAGCTAAACCATGTACCAGCAAATCCCATTAACCAATAAATTGCTTTAGAGGAGAAGGATTTTGGGCCTAATCTGAATCTACTGCCAAATAATTACCTAATGACATTAACAATTTCCTAACAAGGTGCCTCTACTTGTTCCATAACAAGGTTCTGTAAGACTGTAAAACTATGACAAAGTTAGTATGAAAGAACGGCTATAGGAGCTCAGTGTTCAGTGTATATTCTATGCACACAAAAATGCCCAGGTTGAATTACTGAGATCACCCAGAAGAGCTGTTGCCAGACAGTGTAAATAATAGTGAACTAGATGACAGCGTTTGCCTTTCTCACCTTATGAACAATCAGGTCTTTCTGTATGACCAGACAAAACAGGGGCTTATCTTGAGAATAATAACAGCACAAGTGCCAGCCCTATGAAAGTATTATGATATCCTATTTGTATGCAATAGATGGGGGGGATGCCTGGTTACTCCCTCTACCCCCTTAAATGATACTAAATACATACTTAAATTTCAATATAAAACCAAACATTTGAAAAATGGGAGTTAAGTGAAGAATAGGAGGAACTGGTACTCCTCATAACACAATTGGACAGTCTGTTGCTGTACCTTTAAGAGCAGCCAGAAACTAAGTGGGCTTTATTTCTGCATTTTAGCAAGGCCAAAAGATGGTTGCAAGGTTAATGTTCTGGCCTTGGTAAAATTAGAAATTAAGCCTGCTTTTTTCTGGCTGCTCTTAAAGGTGCAGGGTATATATTATCTTGCAGTGTTTCCTTATGTAAAAACTCAGTCATAGATGCAAACCAGAGGCAATGATACAACCAATAAAATAATGCAGGGATTTTAATGTTCTAAAAATGCTGCAGGAATGTCAATATTGCTCATGACTAATAGGAAATATTCTACAAGGGTATATACATACGTGCAACCATATTTCACACAACATGAATAACTATAAATGACTCAGATGTAACACCTTTAAAACTACTTTTCAGACAATGTGAGATACTGCAACTGCAGTATACAGTCTGAATTTATGGCGGACATGTTCACACAGATGACCCATCCTAAAGTACTCATTTAGCCAAAGTATTGCCTACCAACTTTGTTGTCAAATCCCAGAGTGATAAGGCCTTTTCATATTACAACTAATGCACAACACTGCTTACACCACAATAAATCTATATAGAACAATTATATGCAAGTGTCACTCAATCTGCAGTGTGGCTTAATTCCCAGGCATTGCAGTCCTGTTTCTTTATGCTCTTGTACTTAATGAAATAATCGTTATGTTGTAACTGGATTGCATCTAGATATAAGGGGATGGCCAACTTTCCCACCTCCTCCTCTCCATTGTGGTCTCTTTACCGTCTCCCAAAGGTTACAGAGTGTTAGGAGATCCTGCTTAGACGCACAGGCTGTGTTGCTGAATGGGGGTGGGGGCGCAGATGTTCCCAAAGCAGCTAGAAATAAAATTTCCTTGATTCAGATAAAGTGGCTGTGAAAGATCTTCTATAACACTTCTGGGCAGAGTTCCCAGCCCTCCGTGTGACATTTTTGGAGATCGGGTCTGTGAAGGGGAGGAAGAGTGGGCAAGTCTGCTTCCACCAGCCCAGTGGCACGTGCCTAAAGCTGGGTCCATCCCAATGTCTGACCTAGAAAGACTGCATGGTAACTAAAATAGGGGTGCTTCTGTTTTGAGTTGTTCAGGCCTGGTCTCTCCTTCCACCACTGTCCCCCCATTCTCACCACTACACGGCCAGCACCCTTCGGTCTTTTCAGACGACGGAGCGAGGGGGAGCAAGCGACAGCTGGCCAGCCGACCGCGAGGCAGACCCTGTTTTGCGGGCGAGGGGCGGAGGAACTAAGACCGAGGCAGAGAAGCAGCAACAGGTGGCAAGCGCCATGTGAAAAATTCCGTTTCAAAGTAGCCTACAGCTGCAAACAAGGTACGATAAAAACACGGGAAAGCAGACCGGGGAAGGGACGGGGGAATCGTGTGAAGCTCGTTGCCGAAAAGAATGCTATAGCACGTTCTCAATGATAATCATTCATTCTGCCGTAAGATAGATTTCGCCAATTCAATCCGTAGCTCGCTTGGATTCCGCGGAGAGAGCGAGAGCATTTACAACCAAGCCAGTCATCGGAGCTCCCTTTCCTGACAAGGGCCGCAATCCTGTGAACACTTACCTGAGAGTAAAACCCACTGAATACATAGCGATTTACTTTGAAGTAAACATAAGATTGAACTGCAGGATCGAGACTCAAGGAGGGTATTTAACGTTGAGATCGGGACTCTTGGTAGCTACTGGATACGGATTCAAAGTAATGTCAGCTTTAGCCCTCACGTTTGCTCGGGAATAAGTCTCCACGAAACTCTTAACACATCGCTCTCCCTTGTAAGGGGAGGAGAACTAAGTTGGAAAACTCAGGTCCACCGAGCCACAGGCTAATGCGGCCAACAGCTGTCTACTCTCAGTGAAGGCCGCCGCCCGAGCTGTTTTCTTTTGCTACCTTTTACTCCCAGAGGCTGCAAATCGGTGCCACCCGCAACTATGTTTTCTCTCCTCGCCCCACCCCTATGGAACACTTTTTGTTTTTCTCAGTTCTTTTCCCTCCTCCCACCTCCTTTGTATTTTTTAAACCACGCTATTTCACTTTCCTGGGACCAATAGCAACTCCGAATTTTTCCCGTGGCCAATAGCGTGTTGCACTGAAGTCCTTTTTTTCAAGCCTATCAGTCCTCCAATCGAATCATGCTCTTAATCCCACTCTCTCCACACTCCCTAACCGGTTTCAACGGGTATGAAGTACAAGCCATCCCACCCCCACCTTTCTTCCCGCCCCTCTCTCGACCAAACGCAGTAAATTCTTCGGGTGACGTCAGTTAAACTGCCAGCCAATCAAGTAATCCAAAAGATACAGGGGTGTGGCTCTACGAGGTTCAAATCACGCTGGCAGCCAACCGCCAGGCCTAAGGGGTGGGTCTTATGCAGAGCTCTAGGGGTCAAGTTGCTGTGGCGAGCAGGGCTGTGGAAAACAAGAGGCTATCAAGTACACTGAAAGCGACCCATTCGGCTGCGGCGGACGAAGAGGGTGATCCGGAGCTTCAGTTCATCCGTGCCGGTCGCAAGCGGCTGCTTTTTGTCCCCCGTCTTCGTCTCGACCAGGCAAAGGCTAAGTACCAAGCACGTGTTTTTCCTTCTCCTTGAAAGAGTGCCGTTCGGGTGACCAGCCCTCCGGGGCGCGGCTGGGCAGGAGTGACGGGGCGGTTTGGACTGACGGAGCAGAGCCGGCGGACTGTCCGAGCGGCGCAGCCTTCTGTGTGTTTGAGAAGGGGCGAACTTAGGCGGGGACGGGCCGAGCGAGTGCGGGGTATGCGGGTGGGGGGAGGGGTGCCTGGGAAATAAGCAGAGGCGGGAAAGTGCGGTCGCTGCTGCGTGAGGCGAGGAAACTCAATACCTTGGGCGGGAAAGTTGTCGCCGCGGGTTTAGGGAGGGCGCCTGGGACGGGGGACGGCGGCGAGGTGGGGGGGAAGGCGCGCTGTAAGCGGCTATTTATTCCTTAGGGGTTTTCCTCTCCCCCCCATTTTTTCCTTGCTCTGCAGGGACCGTTGCCGCAGCCATGGGCAAAGGCGACCCCAATAAGCCGCGGGGCAAAATGTCCTCGTATGCGTATTTCGTTCAAACATGCCGCGAAGAGCACAAGAAAAAACACCCGGACTCTTCCGTCAACTTTGCCGAGTTCTCCAAGAAATGCTCCGAGCGATGGCGGGTAAGAAGCTGCGAAGTCGGCCAGGCCCAGCCTGGGCTCGCCTGGCGTCGGTCGCGAAAGGCCCGCCTCCGGCTCCTCCCTCCCTCGCCGCTTCTCCCACCCGGCGGGTTGGCGCGCGTTGCAGTTGCGAGCGCCCGCCCAAGTACTTAAAAGGCGGGAACGGAGTTGTCTCTGGGCCTTCCCCGAGGCCGACGGCGAGCCGCTGCTCCGAGTGGTTCGGGTTCTTTGCAGCGGCTGTGCTAGGCCACAATCCTAGAAGCGTCTGGATGGGAAACAATGGGCCTTGGGGCGAGGGCTGCAAGGAATGCGGGCCCAGAGGTGTTAAGAGTCGCTCCAGGACTGTGGATGTAGAAGTATTCTGGGGGGGGCGAGGGGTTTCTCAAGCGGCTGCGGAAAAGGAAAACAAGGTTGGAATTGGCAGTAGGCACCACTGACCTTGAGGGAATCTAATTCTTAGTAGATGTTTGTAGAGTTGCACTGGAAATAAACAACATGTTCCCGCAGCTTCATCTTTAAGAGATAAGCTTGTATAGATACGTTTTTCTGCCTGCCATTTGAATAGGAATACCCAGAATCGACTGGCCCAACGGAAGAAGGGGAAAAAATGGGTTCAATGGAGGCTGCTGGGAAATGACTAATTTCTTACAAATTAGCAATTTGAAAAATAGGTTAAAATGCATTAATCACTTTTATCATTAAATGCATTACACCATTGTTACTGAAAAGGATATGCATTGCTTTCTGCCAGATTTTTTCAAAGCCCTGTGTAACTCTTGAGGTTGCTGTGTGTCCATACCAATAAGGTTGTAATCCTGTGTGTCTTCGGACAGGCAAAAGCCTTAGAAAGCTGGCAGGAGAAAGCTAAAAGTCTTGTTACAACTTAAACAACTGAATAACTATTTTTAGCACAGTTCCTAGGGTGGCTTAAAATGAGTATCAAAACGAAAGTAAAAGAAATTTAAGATCTCTTATATTTGTATCTCCTTTCCCTGAACCTCCTTTTTTAAATTACTAGCAACAGGGATTGGGATGAATTCTGTGAGCATGTTGTTCTTCCTCTTACTGAAAAACAAGCCTGAATAAAGATTGTATGAATGTCTAACATTGTCTGAGGTAACCTCTGGTGTTTTGAAAGAAGTAGCAAATGTAGGAGTTGTGATATAATCAGTGAGGCATTTTGTTTGTTGAGATTTGTGGCAAATGGCTGTATAAAGAATTGAATTGCTTCCAACCTGAGCTCATAGTTGCTAGGAAAGCGTTATTGGCTACTTAGAGAGGACTTGCTCAATAGGCTTTGGCTTGTAAAAACATCCTAACAGACAAAAAGTGGTAAAGGGATTAGAATAGTTTTAGCTATTTCTGGGAGGTGGGGGTGGTGTGTAAATTTGCTTTTTTTAAAAAAAAACCTTGGGTTTCTGCTGTTGGTTCCAAGTTTCTAGGTGGCCAAACCCAGAGGATATAAGAGCACTTTCTGAATATACTATTGCCTTTTGAAACAAAGGGAGTAGTCTGCAAGTGATAAGCTGTTACTAACACTTCCTAAACCTTCCAGAAATAAAGTGCTAATTTCCAGAGCAGGGGAACTCTGGGGTTGATAGAAGGGAGCTTTGCTGACCTGTCCCATTATTGTAACCAGCTTTTTTAATTTGTTTCCAGAGTTTATAGTGGTTCCAGAAACTGCAAACTGGTCTATTTGAATGTAATGCCTGCTTTTTGGTTGATTTGCAGCCTTATCTACTGCTTTTATGGATTAAAATAGATCTTTAGGATTTATCTTTGTTTCTTCCAGTATTTAGTTGAAACCACTAATCTCTCTGAACTGGCCCACAGATAGTACTTTTAATAAATTTGTAGGGTAATACTCTCGTTTTATTCATAGACAATGTCAGCAAAAGAGAAGTCCAAGTTTGAAGATATGGCAAAGGGTGACAAAGCTCGTTATGACAGAGAGATGAAAAACTATATTCCTCCTAAAGGGGAGAAGAAAAAGAAAAAGGACCCCAATGCTCCCAAAAGACCACCGTAAGTTGATTTTTCTTACAGGAAGCTTCCCAAATTTGGTTGCCTTCAAGATGTGTTAATGTTGCACTGTCCCCAGCCAGCTTGGAGAAGCCAAGTGAGGGAAGGCTAGTTTTGGGTAACATGGTTTTGGTGACCTGTGACTCAATTTTCATGCTGATAGCTCTACATTAATATGTTACAAAGGTAGTAAAAATCAGTGACCATACTAAGATGTTTCTATTATTTCCTTGAACTATGATTTTTGACTGGGACAATTATCTGACACCTTTTCTTGTTTTGTCATCTAGATCAGCTTTCTTCCTGTTCTGTTCTGAACATCGCCCAAAGATAAAAACTGATCATCCAGGCTTGTCTATTGGAGATACAGCAAAAAAATTAGGTGAAATGTGGTCTGAGCAAACAGCTAAAGACAAGCAGCCCTTTGAGCAGAAGGCAGCAAAGTTAAAGGAAAAATATGAGAAGGTAAGAGTTCCAGTTTTTCAGATACTGATGTTCTTTATGGCCATATCATGTGGGACCTGCTATTTTGTATTGTATATTGATACCACATCAGTGGATTAATTCATAATAGTTAATTTTGGTTCAGTAATGAACCACAAGTAAGTCTCTGGGTACAGGATATCACTTCTGTTTGAGTCTAAATGGGGCCCACTTTAAGCACTGCTTTGTTGTGAGACTGCCTGGGAAACTAACTACTTAGCCTTTAGAAGAAGAAACTGGACTGACTTCAGTATAGTCAGTCTAAAGCCAGTCAAGGTAAAGATCATCCAATAAACTTGCTACTGCTTTTTAATTTCCTGCTCTGGAAAAGAAGGCAAGCTATTGTAATTGCCTCCCAATGTGGAGAAATAAGGAGCTTTCAGAGAGCAGAGTCTTGTACATGTCTCCAAAAAATGCAGGGGAGAATGCCAAGAGCCACTAGGAAAGTTTGAACTTCAAGTGATGTTTGCTATTGTACTGTGTAAATATAGTTTTTGTTGGGATCTTGCTTTTGCAGGATGTTGCAGCATACCGTGCCAAGGGGAAGAGTGATGCAGGGAAGAAGGGTCCAGGTAGGCCAGCAGGCTCAAAGAAGAAGGTAGAACCTGAGGAAGAAGAAGAGGAGGAGGAGGAGGAAGAGGAGGAGGAGGAAGAAGAGGAGGAGGAAGAGGATGAAGAGTAAATTTATAACCTGCTGTAAAGATTTGTGCTCAAAAGTCCATGATTTTGCTAAGAATGTGAAGTCGAGTGCAGCTCATTGTTAGCTTCAGTATAAAAACTGTACAGAATTGTGTATAGGTAATGTGATTCTCTGTAGGGAGATCTGTATTCTAATGTAAGTAGTAGCAAAAGGCCGCTACTGTTAGATTTTTTTTTTAAGCTGATATTGTCAAATGTTCTGGCATATTTAATGGTTCTTTGAAATTCAGTGACTGCTTGATTTTGAGCGAAGTACAACTTTGGTAGGAAAATAGTCAACCTTGTCTTGCATACTATTGCATTGTATTACTTTTTTAACAATTTTGTAATAAAATGATGTACATTATTCTTGTTACTATATTGTAGTATAATTACTGAGGGTTGAATGGCTAAAATTGTAGCTTACACTAGATGTCATAAGGGTGTTCAGCTTAAAAAGCTGTTCTTTGTTTTCATTTTGGCTTTGAGGAATTGACTACCATCAAATTACTTCTAGTTATATCTTGTGATTTTCTCATTCAATGTAGAAGCATTCATAGTGCTGTATATCAGCTGACTGGATTTTTAAGTGGTTTTCTTGTAAAGTGGGGCTTGCAGTAGGAGAAAATGCAGATCTAACACCATTCAAGAGATTGCTTTATTGTAACAGTGAAGCCATTGACATTACCCTGCTTTTCTCAGGTTTGGCCAGGGTGTAGATATAACTAATGCTTACAGTTATATCCATTTCATTTCCAATTTCACAAGATTCTATTGTGACTAGCACTTTGCTTTCAGAGTTGGGAAGGTTGCTTTAGTAAATTGTATATTTCAAAATCGTGTAACCAGCTATTTGGAGGGTATGCAGGTTTATTTAAGGCCCGACTACAGGGGTGAGACCTTTTGGGAGTTGCTCCAGATTTTTTTGTACAGGGGAAATGTGTACCTAGAATCAGAAGAGCCTTTAGCTAAGGTAGATAGCCGCACCTAGTACATTGGGTACTACTCTACTAGTAAGCATGATCTTTTGTAAGTTATGATTGCATGAATTAAATTCCAGATTGTATGGGTAGATACTGAGTGGTTACCCTCACATGCTAAAATGTATACCAGAACTCTAAAATAATAGGTGTTGGGATGTGGGTTTGTTCAAATACCTATGCAGTAAGACTTTTATGAATAATTTCCTGGGCTGCAAATACAAAACATGGACTCATGCCTTGGATGCACCTTGCTTAAACTACAGGGAAGCCATTAAACTTAAAGTAGTAGTCTTTCATTATGGAAGTAGCAATAGGGGCAGATTGAATGTAACCATGCTTTAAATAGGGGGGAATTGCTCTTCCTGTAAGTGAATAGTTTTTGTTGCAGTGCTGCATTTATGCAATTAGTGTGTTTAATTTAGCTCCTGCATTCTGTTGGCAAAAGCTATATTTACAAAGAGCCAATTTTGGAGGTGTCACTGCACCTTCAGCAGGGTCTCCTGATCATGGATATTCGGGGGTGGAAATGATGGGGAAGTCTGTTTTAGCCCACTTTGCATGTTTAAATACAGATATAATTCATACTTGCTATTATTGACACAAGCAAAAATGTTCCAGGTACAAGGAAATGATTGTTTGACTACAAGTACTGTAATGTACATTAGACATATGTAAATGAACAAGGACAGAATTTCCACATCTGACAAACCTTTTGTTTAGTAAGGGTTACTCTGTTGAGAAGGTTATCTTCTAATGGGTTCTTGGACTGCTGAATGGTTGTGTAGATAGTTTAGAACAGCTGAGCTAAATCCAGATTTTCTACAAGTGCACACTAGTTCATTCTAATGTTCTAAAATGTTTTACGCAGCGTAATTCCAGGGTTCCCAACAGATGCTTTTGACTATTGTGGCTACTCTCACAAAATGGCTCCCATGGGGTTGTTTATTCACAAAATGGTGGCCATTGCCTGTCACAGAACATTCATTTGCCAGATGGCAGGCAAGTAAAGCTAGAAAAGCAACAAAATGAAGTTTTAAGCTCCCAAAGTATACTTAGGTACAACCTTTTGCTTACAGCACTCCCATCACAGGGAAAATGTGAAGCTTAGGTATATTCTCTGAGAAGATGGTCACACCCCAAAGCCCACCCATGCCGAACATGGACTAAAGTCCCCAGGCCAGATGCCTATTGCTCAAAACCTAGTCAAAGTTTAAAGCAGGCAAGAATACTACATTCTTTTTTCCTCATTCATCCTAAGTATTTGCACTGGGACAACATCAGAACCAACCACTGTAATGAACATGACTGACCAAATCTACCCTGGATGCCGAGTACTACTTTAGCTTAACTGTTTGTAATCTCTGTACATTTAAAGATTAAGTGCTGCCTGGAGCCATTTTTTTTTTTAAATCTGAATGGCCTAGAGTTGTGGCACAGGGCCTTCAAAGGGCCCTAGAAGTTGGTGCTTTTGCTTAGTATTAACAGCTTTTCCCTATAAGTTAGTGTCCCTTGTGGGTTTCAAACAAGATGCATGTGGCACCATTTGAGGACTTAATAATTACCTTTGCTAAATTATTCTTGGAATATGCCATTTTTGGTGTCAGCTTTGAAGGATTCCCAGCAAATAAAACATCTATTACTGGCACCAAAGGCTTTGCAGTAATCAATTTCCTGCTGTGCTAGCTTCTAATTGGAAAGACTGATGTATCTATATGGTAAGTAATTCACAGATATGATCTCCCCATTGTGGAATGAAGAGTAGAGAAAAGGCCATATGAAGTTGGCAGGAAAAGAGCTTAAAAAAAAAAAACATCCCCAGCACAATGTCTTCTGATGGCTGTGATTTGTATGTGGCAAAAGGTGAAAGTAGGAGTTAAATTGCAAGGTGCAATAGTAGGCTTCAAGAGAAATTATATGACTTGTCAAGCCTAATTTTAAAAGGTCAGTTTAAAAAATCAAATAGCCACAGTAAGTGAGGGCTGGGGAGAGGAAATTCTGCATTATGTAGAAGCTCCTGAATGTGGTAGATGGGAGTACAGGAGGTATGAGGCATACTAATCTCAGGGTGGACCACTGGGTACTGCCCCACCTCAAATGGTATATTTTGAAAATCTAAATCTAGCAATTAGCTTTATCTCCAATCAGAATAGCAGGTCCCTTGTGCAGAAAGTAAAAAGGATATGTGACATTAAGATTATTTGTACAGGTCATTTAAGAAGACCCATTTGTTTGCTGACAGATGGTTTTCATAACTTTACAAAACAGTTAAAACCAAAATGCATCATTTTTTGTATGACACTGGCGAAAAATCAAAACCAATTCTTGGAAGTGTAAGAGTGCAACCATAGTGGCATACTTAAGGAAGTTTGTTGCTGCAGGCTTAATGGACACTTCTCTAAAAACTGCTTAAAGAATACGACCTCAGCATTTCACATTTGTACAAGATAATGGCACGCTCAAGCAAATGATTCTTGTTATGTAGTTAGAAAAGGCAATGGAAATAAAACCACAGTAAAAGGATGGACACCCGATACCAATATTTTGAACTATTTTGAACTATTCCAGCCAACATGTATAGAGGCAACTGCTTTCCTAACAAGTTATTACAGGTTAACTAATAGGCTGGATAAGGGCCTGTAATCCAACCTTGAAAACAGGTGAGACTGAGGTTCTGTTTGAGTGATTCCTGAGTCTGGGATTACAGACAGCTGCCTCTTCTGGTCAGGCCTGTGCTCTTTCTGAAAGAGCAGGTGCATAGTGTGGAAAATGCTCCTGAATCCGTCTTTGATGTTTGAGGCCCATGCTGAATACCTTTTACCAGCTTTGGCCTTGACACCTATGGCTGTACCTGGACCAGGATCACACAACTACGGTAATCTTCACAGCTGTCTTCAAGACTGTTCTGCGATGCACTTGGGCAGTAAGCGGGCTTCTTGGGTTTGGTCTAAAAGTACCACCAGGAGCAGAATGCAGTAAAGCTGTTTATCAAAAAATTTGTTCAGTGGCTTGTAACATACTGAAAGAAATGCACTGGTTGCCCATATGCTCAAATTCAAGCTGTGTTGCTGCTACATAAAGCCCTAAAGGAACCACTTTACCTCAGTTATCTTTGTCTATCGCCTTAGCTTTTCCTTATACTAGGACCAAGCTATGTGTAGTGTTTTAAAGTTATATTAGTTTCTCTTTATCTCTTATTATTATTGCTGCGATTTTAATACTGTCCACCTATTACTATTAGCAGTACATACATTTGCACAAATAGAATAAATCATTTTAATCAATATACTAATTGTAGAAATATATTGTAATTGCAGAAGTAATGAGTTTTGTGCATATAATCCTGACTATTCATAAAAGCAGTGAAGATGTTAAGAGTTATGGAACTGCCTTTAGTGCAGTACTTGCTGAACTTGTCACTGTGTGGCAACCTTTCAAGAACTCAAGAAGTACTATCCTATAGCTCCTTGATTTTCCCTTCTCAAGGTTAAACATGCAGTTATTTCACACTTTCCTCATAGGGCCTTGCTTCCAGTCCCCAACTTTTTGTGACTATGTAGTTGGTTTCTTTTTCTTAGGTGTAGAACTTGGCATTTGCCCGTTAAATTTTAATCTGTTGCCCAGAGTTTTATTCTATCAAGATTGTTTTTTGTTTCTGTCTCCCAATAAGCTATCCCACCCAGTTTTGTATCACCTGCAAATTTGGTAAGTGTTCCTTGGGACTGCCACATTCAAATCATAGGTTGATAAGTACAGGGCCTAGGACTGAACCCTGTGGTACCCCCCCCCTCCCATTACCTCTCCCCAGTTTGAAAACGTGTCATTGATGACCACTCTTTGAGTCTGATTCTGTAGCCAGTTGTGGAGCCACCTGACAGTTTTGCTTAGTCCACTTTATTAACACTATGAAATGTTTTATTAGCATTATGCATTAATAACTTTAAAAAAAACCTGAAGCACCTGTTGGCATAAATATTCTGCTTCCAGATAACGTTTCAGTCTCCCATCACCCCCAGAAGCTAAAAACTAGCAATTTACTATAGAAATGCCTAAGACTATAAAATGTTTAAATTAAGAGAAAAACAGCAACAGGACAGGCTTTGCTTCCTTGAATGTGTGCTGGAACAAATGTTTGTTTTATTGATCTTAGAAGGCTGGACTTGGAAGAGAATTCATCAAGGCTTTAACACTCTTTAAATGCTGTTACACTATCATAGCAAGCACCAAGACATAATTTGAACAATAGTGTGATGTGTTGTTTAACATCATGTTGCCTTTGAGGCTGATCTTGTGCCCTAATAACCATTTAAAATCAAGGCAAGGATCTACCCAATAGCACCTTTTTGAATATGCCAAGGCTATCCAGCTTTGCACTGCATGTGTAATGTAGGACTATCTGCCAGCTAGACTGAACTTGTGGCTCACTCAGTGAAATGAGATGCTGGTTTCCAGGAGGTGCATTCCCTTCAAGCTGAGGTGGCTGACCTGGAGAAGAGGGAGAGAGAGAAGTTTCAGGGAGGCTCAGGTTAGGTTGTATTGAACAAAAACCTGTGCAGGGCAACCTGTCAGAAGCCAGGGCAGATCCAGGAAATTACAGGCCTGTTAGCTTAATATCTGCTAACACATTTCTAGTTGGTGTCTGTACTCCAGGACTGGGAACTGGCCAAGGTAACACCAATTTTTAAAATAGAGTATGTAAAATTATAGGCCAATGGGTTCAATTTCTACTCCAGGTAAATTGGTTGAAAGTGTTCTTAAAGATTTAACTAGGAAGCATATGGAAAGGCAAGTCCTACTGGAAAAAAAGAATCAACAAATCTAACTTCTGTCTCGCGAACCTTTTTGAGTTCTTTGAAAATGTCAATAAATAACGGAGGACTGATCCAGTAGATGTGTACTTGGGCTTCCAAAGGGCTTTTGGCAAAGTTTCTCACCTAAGACTTCTAAGAGGTTCTTCTATGTATAAATGGTAAAAAATCAGCATTCAGTAAATTCTCCAGTGGAGGGAAGTAAACAAACAGGCCCCACAGGGATCTGTATTGGGACCAATGGTTTTCACTCATTTCTGTATTATATGTAAAGAGGAGTGAGCAATGAGGTGGCTTAGTTTATTATTGCATTGGATTTATAACCTGCCTTTCTTCCTCCTGCAAGTAAGCCAAGGTAGCTTACAAAGTTCTCTCCCTCATTTTATCTTCACAGTAAAAATACTGGTAAAGCAGGTTAGACTTACAGTGACTGGTCCTAGCCACCCAGTACACTTCAGGGCTGCATGGGGATTAGAACCCAGATCTGCTGTGTTTGAGATCAGCACACTTAGCCAATACACTACACTGATAGTTAAAACAAAAAGGGATTGAGGCACTCCAAAGTGGACAACTGGACATCAAAATGTCAAATGAGGTTCAGTGGAAGCAAGTGTAAAGTGATGGATGCTGGGACAAAAAATTCCAACTTGATGGGATCTGAACTAGCAGTGACTGATCAGATAGCTTGATGTAAATGTTGACCTACTCTGCAGCTTCTGTTCAAGGCAACTCCCACTTTATGGATAATTAAGAAAGGAATAAAAAAAGAAATGGTCAAAATTGTATTCTCCTTTTGGAAGATGACTGTGCAACCACAATTGGCATACTTTGCACAGTTCTGCCTCTTGTTCATTAACGAAGTTTAAAAGATGTACTTCTTTACATACTGCATAAACTATGGAATTCACTTCCATAAGATACAGTGACTAATTTAAAAGATCGGGCAAATTAATCCAGGATAAATCTATCAGTGGCTGCCACTCCTGATAGTTATATGTTCAGTATCCAAGGCAGTACACTATGTACAACAGCTGCTGAGATACATGGGTGGGTAGTCCTGATCTGCTAGTGGGTTTCCTGCAAGCAGCTATTTGCCACTCTGTGACTTGCCCAGCATGACTTTTTTTTAGGTTTTAACATGTTCCCTCTTATGCCTCTGGATTCACACATAGGGCAGTATCCAATTTTGCCTATGTATTCCTGCTGTTTTGGTTGCACTAGTTGCAAAACAGAACTAGTATTTCTGTAAGTTATACCAGAAATGCATGGAAATGCTCATTTCTGGCACTGGACATATCAGTAGAGCTTCCACTTGCAACTTGCCCTGTTTCACTTTGCACAGGATCCCCTGTGTTCCCACTGAACGAAAGCGCAACCAGCTAATACGCCAGATGGATGACAGAAATCTGCTTCTGTGTATTCATCTGCAGAGTTCTAAAAAAAAATTAGGTTTACTATCACCAGATCACAAGCAAGAAAAAAAATAAAACAATTTCAGTTTACTTTAACACTCGTGTATCATTAAAATTGAGACACTGTTTGAACTCCACAGGAATATGGCTAGAAAGAAATAAATTTTTGTTGCAAATATATAATAAACCCACAAGTTAAAATTTATTTTTCTCACCTAAAAAAAGAAGCAACTCAGAATTAAGATATACATAAGACCCCCAGATTTACCCCTAGTAAAACCTTTGGATTTATACAATCTTTACAGAAACATACAGTGTATCAAAATCTGCATAAATCAAATTTATAAAATGTGTAGAAATGCATAGTGATCAACTTACAAAGCAAGGGTATGGAATCTACTTTTTAAAAAGCAGGTTACAGTAGGAAAAGTTGTTAGGAGTAACAGTTGCCTTATGTCGTCTTGAAGATTTGGAGTTTAAAAATACAAGTTCATATTCACATACAATGTTGGATTTTAATGGAATTGCACACAATACCCATTTAACACATACACACCTGCACAATCGATGTGCAATCTTTCACTTATGCATAGTAATGTGATTAAATTAACCTCTGTCCAACACAGAAAATGAAAATTGGTTTTCGTACACACATAAAGGTACCCACCACCCTTGCTATCCTCCTTCCAGTTTCTACCTCCTGTTTTTTAATTATTCACAGCTGTCAAAGGAGGTTTACAAAGACTGATTTCTGTATCTATATATCTGCATACATATAGTCTTCATAAAATCAAAATATGCCCTTACGATTTAAGTATCACCATTACTCATTTTTAGGAGTTAATAAAGTGAGGATCAACTAGTTGAAACTATGAGAAACAAAGGTACACTATTACACTAGGAATTTCAATTTAATAATTTAAGAGTTTAATTTTGAGCTAAAATTCGGCAGTCACATGCTTATAATCCAGAATCTACATGTACTACTGCACATGTGGACCCAAACAACATAAAACTGTTGGACTGTGGCAAGGATTACTCTCCTTTAATTTAGGATTAAATACTGAAGTTTTTTTAAAATGATCCCCCCACTCGTGTCAAATATTTTGCTTTCAGGATAACAGCACAAGTGATTTAAGCAATCATATTTTAGTTTTTGAATGTTTTGGTATCTTTATCATTGGTTATCTTTTCATGCTATGCAACACAGTTCTATAACTGGGATTACAACCAATGGAGGCATTAAGTCAAATCTCAGGGTTCAAATTTCTTCAGTATTTCAAAGCCACTTCCATTAGTCTGAAGCCACTTTTGTACAAATTAAGTTTATTTTACCCCATATGAACATTTCTAATCTATGTATGGATCTCTAACTCGCTGACAATATTCCTTTACATGTCAAGTACTCGCAAAATAATTCTGACAGTTCTGAAACATTTCATCACTTTGTCTTTAACTGACTTCTATTTGTCACAAGAAAACTGAAAAACTGGATCACATTTTCTACACTGTGTAGCTGTATACTGACGTCAATTCTGACATATACAGGTTTTGTAAGGCATGGTGCAGCAGGGAAATTAGTGCTTGTATTGTTTTAGTTGTAATTTAGAGTGTTCACTTCCACTGAATGCATCACATAGCGCTCAATTTCCATTTCAGCTTGATATTGCAAAGTAGAAAATTTAAGCTGCTTTAATGCTATTTCACGCAAGTGGTTCATGGATATAAGTGCTATCCAGTATACCAACTACAACTGACTTTAAAAGATTCCAGTGACATTTTAGCCTCACTGTTTAGGCTCTCACATAGCATTGATTTGTCCCTCCGTTGATCACCATATATGTTATGGAATAAGGAGTGTGAGAGTCAAGTTGGTAATATATTTTTCTTTAAGTCGTAATGAAGGCATTACCAACTCATCCCTTTTAAAGAGGAGACACCTCAACATGGCATACTATGACCAATGCTCTTCTCGTGAACTAAAGAGGAAAAATTAAGGAGGCACTAAATACGTTGAAAATTCACCTTTCAAAAAAGCAGCATGACTGTGAAAGAAGGCCACCTTGGCTAAAAACCTGTGGCAGTGCTTGGTAAGATGTAAAATCAAAACAACATACAACAGGTTGATAATCACCATGTTATAGCAAAGTCTGGTTACTCCAACCTTTTTCAAGTGTGAGTGTTAAAAAAAACTCAGAACAAAACAACTGCCTGCAGACCCCTGAGTGTAATCCCAAAGACAACAAATGCTTGGATCCAATTCCCCTGCTTGTGCACAAGTGGAAGGCACTTACACACATGCGGGAAGTTGCCAATTCCCAGCCCTTGACACCACTCAAAAAGCCATTCTGGAGGAGGGGGGCTTTTTGGAGTGGGGGCTGCTGCCAGAAGAGGAAGCAAAAACCCCTCTTGCATGAGTGGAAGCAACCTCACGCTACTTCAGATCCAAGCCAGCGCTTTTAACTTTGTTCCAGAAAGCAGAAACAAGAGTCAAAAGTGCATTAAATTATCAACGAAAACATCTTGAAAGAACATTCTAAAACAAAAAAGAGAGATGTAAACATCTATTAAAGTTTAAGGTAAGAGCAGTTTTTGTAAACATTAACTGCAGATGATAAATTTATCACAGTCCATCCATGTCCTTCATTCAAATTAGGAAGTTCCAGGCTCTCAGCTGTACAAAGTTAATAGTTGCAGCAGTTTTCAGGCTATCTTCAGTCCTATGTGAATTAAATGTGTCAGTAGGTAGATTCAGGCTATTTTGTTTATACACTAAGAATATTATTCATTTCCCATTTTTGTGTTGCTTTATTGGAGTCACACTCTGAAATAAACACTTGGTGTAGAACTTCTGAACGGTCCAAACATTTTCCTGAAGGAATGTGAGTAAATCTATGCAGATTCTGGAAAACAAAAGCCAAACAAAGCACTATTACTTCCAATGGCACACTGTCCCTTTTATTTTGTCACTTCAGTCCTATTGAAATTATTGTTTTCATCTGTCGTTATATACTTTTCAGTTGATGATAAGAGGGCAGGACAATATATTAAACCAAGTGTTAGAGGGCCAATGGTGATGTTGCTTGCCTATAACAGTAGGCTTAGCTCCAAATAAACGTGGAATTATTCCTCTGAGCCTAAGAGGTTTCTTAATTTTGTTTCTAAGTGGGGGAAGTAACAATACTCCTCCATTTTATACAGTGATCTGCCTTTGACCGAGAAGCAGTTTGCCTTTGACAAAAGTAGTTTGTAATATGGCATGATGGTCAGCTGTTCAAGAGGGAGAGAAGCTTAAGAAATTCCACTACTGGAAATTCTTACTATAGATTTCTTGCTCAAACCTAGGTTTTTTGATCATGGACAGAGCTTTTGACTGACAATTATTACTTCCATCAAAACATATTTACAAGGAAAAAGGGAGCACTGACACTAAGAAAATTGTAGATATAAAAACAGCATAAAAACGGAGAAAATTGGGTGGTAGGATCAGAAGCAGCTTTTCTTTCATATATTGCAGAAATTTCCAAGCTGGTGTATTCCAGACATTTGGAAATATAACTTGCATAATTCCAGCCAAGGTGGCTGGATCTGAAGAGTGTTGGAGGGGTGTCCATCTTTCAAGTATCCATCTGTCCTGTCCTAATTTCCCAAATTGGCTCCACAGCTGGGGAAGTGAGCACACAACAAGATAAGCAGTATATGTGAGGAGGGAAGAGGAAGGGGGGAACAATCATGACACAGTAAAGGGATGGGGAAAGGATGAGGGATGTGATGTGGACAAAAGGAAGGATTGTGTGGGCAAAATACAACAGCAGGAATGGGAAGGAGGCACACTGCAGTCACGGGAAGGAACATGAGCTCTCAGGCCTCAAGTAGTATAATAGCTTGCACTGGGACTGGCTGGAATACATTTACACATACCACCCCCAAAGAGAACACACAAAGTCAGATCAACGAACACCCATTAGATACCTTGAAGTACTGCCATTCCTTGTACTCATTCAGATTGCAGTGTGTAATCATAACCTTGGATCCATCAGTTCCTTTAGTTAAACACTGGTCATACTGCATGAGCTGGTTAGCTTCATTAATTCTAAACAGCTAATAAGAAAAATGTCACATTAAAACCACTAAATATTTTATATCAATTACTGCAAAAATGCTAATAACTGAAATATGCTACTGCTTCAAAATAACATTCTAATTAATTAATTAGCCTTTTGCTGTAAGAATGAAGATACTGAAGGCTTTTAAAGCAATAATAATTCTCAAATACTGGGGTGAAATATAAGATTTGTAAAGCTCTATGCTAAAAAGTCATCAATGTAAAATATGAGCACCAAAAGTGGTCCATGTGGTGAAAGAAACCTTCCATAGCAAGAGAAACAGGAGCTGGAATCTTAACAATTCTCTTCAGATGAGAAGGAAGTGAGCCTTCAGTCATCTTCAGCTGGTTAATATGGTAAAATGGACAGCATTTTCTCAAGGAGATGGAAGGCCCATGAAGATGCTCTGTCATGCAAACAAGCTCACTAGAAATTGCAAGAGGCATTGCTGTAAGTGGATGGTATGCACATGCCTCCTAGGTAAGTGAACCATGTACTGACTGGGAGAGGGACCTCTACTTATGCTGCTTACTGACATTCTTCTTACATCTCCTTCTTTCAATACAAGTGTTTTTTTTAACAACATCAATAATTATAACATGTTCTGGATTGTATGAAACACTTCTGCTGTAAGAAGTGCAGGGGGAAGAACCATTTAGGATTTACTCATATGTCTCCCAATTTACATTGCAGAACTCCAAGCAAATGTTTGCACCAGTTGAATATCTATACAGGTCAGGAGAACTAATAATCTTCATCTGCAGCACTTAGTGGCTACAGTGACTTGCAGAAGTATAACTTTCCCTTTCCACGTTTAATGTACCATAATCTAAAACTGAAATGGATTTAACTGGCATTGTTACAACTTGATGTACACAAAATGCTCAACACTGTGAAGGTACCAAATATTTCTATTATGGAACACAAGTTAAACAAACAAAAGTAGACTAGCATTTGCTAGTTGTAGAAGTATTCCCCCCTCCCCCGGTAATAGTTGGTAGAAGCATCTTTGGCAGCAATTAGTTGCAAGTCTTCTCCACCAGCTTTAGGCATCTAGATCCTGCAATGTTTATCAGTTCTTCCTGGCAAAATTGCTGCAGCTCTGTCAGGTTACTTGGGAATGGAACAGCAATTTTTAAATCTTGCAACAGATTCTGAATTGGATTAAAACCTGAGCTTTGGCTGGGCCATTCTAAGACATTCAGCTCTTGTTTTAAACCACTTGATGTTCCTTCAACTACGTCTTAATGGTAATTGTCCTGTTTGAAAGTAAATTTTCACTTCAGTCCCCAGTCTCTTGCAGACTAAAACAGTTGTCCCATAGATGGTTTCTCCCGTTTCAGCTGTGGATCACTCCTGCTCCTTCAGTGTCACCACTGGGCTCTTGGTTGCTTCTCTAATGCCTTCTCTACATTTTGGTGAACAGCAGAACTCTGGTTGAGCCGTATTACCTCCGTTTTGTCATACTGGATTTTATGGTGCTCTGTGAGATGTACAAATTTGGGTTGTTGTTGTTTTAATAATCTAACCATGATTGCAGCTTCTATACAACTTTATCCTAGAATTGTTTTCATAGCACTCTTTATTTCAATATGCTCTCAACAAACTTAGAGGCCTTCTAGAAACAGGCATGTTTAATCTCAGATCATGTGGCACTGGAATTGCACACAGGGAGACTCCCTTCAACTACTTACGGTATGTGACCTCTGGAGGCAGTGGGCTGCATGTCACAACAAAAGGGCTGAATACTTATGCAACCAACAATGTCAGTTTGATTTTTTAGTTAATTTTTATGCCACAGTGAAAAAACTTTGTACCTTCACACCATTGATTATCTTGTGTACATCAAGCAGTGGCAACACCAATTATATCAATTTCAGTTTCAGATTGCAACACAAGAAAATGCAGAAAAGTCAAAGGAGTGGGGGGAAATACTACAAGGCAATGTATTTCCAATGCAATAGCCACTTTACTTTTATCATTCAGGAACAAAAGCTTGGGAATCAAATCATTTTGGTCAGGTAAACATCTGATAGTGCCTCTTGCAGCCTGATCCTGAAAGTTTACAGAAGAAGCGGACTGGGATAAAACACCAATGGCTATTGTGCATGGATGGAGGCAAAGTTGCAAGTAAATGGAGAACATGATTACTGTTTACATGAAGTAGAAGTTGAGGCAGGTGCTTTAATTTATTGCCAAGTATTTAGATACAGGAGTTATTTTATTACATTATATTTACACCCTACTTTTCTTCTTGTCTATCCTGCTTTGAGCTCTGGAAGCCAGAGTTGTGCTTCAACTGTTTACTACTGTTTACAAATTCAAAAACAAATGTTTGTTTTTGTAATTCTTCATATTTTACTTGATACTTGACCTTCTTGCTTGGTTACAAGATCTATGGAAGGGTCCAAGTCTGGGTCCAGGCAGTTGGTGCAGCCTCTCTTAGAAAGGCAGTGGTACCATCCACTTAAAAACTGTGGTTACTGCACCACTCCTTAAGAAACCTGCACTGGACCCAACGGATGCAAGCAACTTTTAACTAATTGCCAACACGCCATTTTTGGGCAAGATGATCAAGCAGGTTGTGGCTGAGCAGCTCCAGGCTCTCGTAGAGGAAACAAATTACCTAGATCCATTTCAAGCCTGCTTTTGGAATAGAAACTGCCTTGGTCACCCTATGGGATGACCTCTGCTGGAAGAGAGACAGCGGGAGTGCAACCCTGTTGATTCTCCTGGACCTCTCAGCAGCTTTTGATACCACCAACGGTGATATCCTTCTGGAGAGTTGGCCAGGTTGAGAGTTGGGGGTGGCACTTTGTGGTGGTTCTGCTCCTATCTAGCTGACCATCTGCAGATGATGGTGCTGAGTGCCATGGTCTCTGCACCATAAGAGTTTTGCAGGGCTCTATCTTGTCCCCCATGCTTTTCAACATTTACATGAAACCTCTGGGGAGGTCATCAGATTTGAGCTGAAGTGTCATCAATATGCTGATGACACTCAGTTCTACCTCGTTTTTCATCATCTCCAGGTGAGGCAGTGACTGGGCTAAACTGGTGTCTGAGTTCAGTAATGGACTGAATGCGGGTCAACAAGCTGAAGCTCAATCCAGATAAAACAGAGGTGCTGTTGGTGGGGAGTCCACCTGTTCCCCTGGGGAGTTTTCAACCTATCCGGGATGGGACTGTACTCCTCCTAAAGGATAAGGTCCACAAACTTAGAGTACTCCTGGATTCCAAGATGTCACTTGTTGCTCAGGTGGACTTAGAAACATAGAAACAGAGCGAGTCAGAAAGGGTCTCCTGGGCCATCTAGTCTGACCCCCAGCTCTAGTCAGCTGTGCTCATGACATGCCCACCATGTGCATGTCCAGCCTATCTTTGAACACCCTCACCAATGGGACCTCAACCATCTCCTGTGGAAGCCCATTCCACACCCTCGGGGTCCTAACCACACCCTCGGGGTCCTCACGGTCTATGGAATGCGCTCCCCAGAGAGGTCCGCCTGGTGCCGTCGTTATTTGTTTTTCGGTGCCAGGCTAAGACCTTTTTATTTAAAACTTATTTTAATTGCTAAATTATTGTATTAATTAGGATTTTAAAATTTTTAGCCGAGAATACACCGGGGGTTTTTTAATGTTTTTTTTCTTCTTTTGTTATATTATTATTATTTTTGGATGTTTTATGTATTCTTTGTGAGCCGCCCCGAGGCTTTGTTGCGATGGGGGCGGCATAGAAATGTTATAAATAGATAAATAAATAAATAAATGTCAGGAAGTGCTTCGTGGCATCTAAATGGAACCTTGGTTCCCTGAGATTTGCTCCATTGGAGCGTGTCGTGCCTTCCTCTGCAGGGGAGAACAGGTCTCTACCCACCTCCGTGTGACAACCCCTCACATACCTGTATGTCGCCAACAGATCCCCCTATCTCCTCCAGGCTGAAGAGACCCAGTTCCCTCAGTCTCGCCCCATATGGCATCCCCTTCCAGGAGTGCCTTTTATCAGCTTTAGCTGATTTATCACCTGTGTCCCTACTTGGACGAGTGGAGCTTTACCACAGTTATTCCTGTGCTTGGTAATATCCCACTTGGATTACTGGAATGAACTCTATGTGAGGCTGCCTCCGAAAAAGGTCTGGACCTTGCAACTTGTCCAAAATTGGGCAGCACACCTGCTAACGAGGACTGGCAGTCGTGAGTATATCATGCTGATCTTATGCAGGCTACATCAACTTCCAGTTGCTGTCTGGGCTCAGTTCAAAGTGCTCACAATAACATACAACCCTAAATTATGGACATTATGGTAACAAGCAGCTTTAAATTAAACAAACAAGCAAATAAAATTTTGATGCCGGGTTATCTGAGGGAGTGGCTTTCTCCAGATGTACCAGACTGTTCGCTATGGTCTTCATCTGAAGCCCTCTTCCTCATTCCTCCCCCTTATGAAGCATAGCACTCCAACTCTGGAATTCAATTCCTCTGGAAGTCCAGTTGGTACCTACTGTTCTGGTTTTTAAACACCAACTTAAGACATTCTTGTTCTACTGTTATTTGAATATATGAATTGGTGATTTTTAATAATGTTTTAAAGATTTTATACTATTAAATGCTGCTGCCTTCATGATTTTACTGTAAATGCTAGAAATTGACATGAAATTTTAATTAGTTTATGTTTTATTTTGGATCCCTTGTATAATATTCATTGTTTTTATCTGTTTCATTATCCTTATCTTGTCTTAGTTAATTTTGGTAGTTTAGCTATGGCTTTTTATTGATATTTGTTTCACTGTAATTGTGGAGTTTACTGTGTTATATATTGTATTGTTTATCATGTTCTATATAGAGATTTTATCATGATGTAAGCCACCCAGAGAGCCTGTGACTAGCAGGATGGCATATAAATTGAACAAACAAACAAACAATTCAAAGCACCTTGTTCTGAGGCTACTTACTTGATTTCCTCCCATTCTGTGGCATGGTCCAAGTTCCACAAAGCCCCCGTTGGAATGTCCCATACTGTCTATGCAATAAGCAGTTTCAAAACCTCTAATCTGAAACACATTTATAGTTTATATTGTAGCTTCATGTTTAAATATAGAAAAATAAGAACTTGGTTATGTGAGATGTAACATGCAGCTACATATATAGATTTCTAAATCAACCTTAACAGTGCACTGAACATACCACCAGAATGCACTGGAGTGATACATATACACATAACATTATATCAGGGACTATTAAAATTTTCTAAATAAATAAATAAATAAAAGATACAAGAACAAAAAATCATAATACTTGCTATGAGGAATACATGCTGTAATCATGCTTTTAGTCTAATCTGAAGATGCATATAGTAAAATTGGAAAGATATGAAATGAAGAGCTTTGTGTACCCAGAATGCCTATTTGTGTACTAGTTTGCCTAAATCAAAGATTGGCACGGAGAGCTCTGTCTTTACTAAATACCATTACGTTTCATTATGTCTTTCTATAGTAAATAAATAGCATTACAATTAAAATGACATTGTATCTAAATGAGTAATTTCCATAATAACAGGAAACTGCTCTAATAATTAACACACTATCCTCATTCACAAGATTCTATAGAAAAGGTTTATATCAAACAATATGACAGACCTAGAAGAGAGAGTTCTTATTTTTAAGAGAAAATTATTACTATTATTACATTGCATTGCACTGCATTTATTATTATTACTACTATTACACTGCATATCCTGCCCTCTTCTTCTTGTGAAGAAACTAAGGCAGTTTCCATATACAATAGGTTAGACTGAACATGAGTGATTGGTACACAGTCACCCAGTGAGCTTCACAGCTGAGTGCGGGCTCAGGTTTGGATTTTTCAGGTCCCTAGTCTAACATTCTAACCACCACAGCACACTGGCTCTCATATTACACACATGAAATCATATTAAATTTTATAAATCAATATTAAGCATATGATACCTCTACAATGTTATATTAAATATGCCATAGCATGCTGACCCAACACAAGACATTTTTACAGAAAGCATTTGCTGCATGATATGCAAATTCTACAGTACACGCTTGTATCTTACTGGCAGAGAAAGGGGAATTAGTCCAAGTGAATCATTTCCAGGCAGGCACTTTCCTATATCCATTGAGAGTACGGCATTCACATAAAAAGGTAATCTCTTTCACATTTTTCAGGAGACTGCTTGCATTTAATGTGTGCAATTGTGTACCTTTGGCAAATATCAATGGCCAATTATATGTATTGGTGAACATAATTGACTACTAGTAGTTGATAGCTTTAAGTTCTTCTATTTTTTCTCCTTTTCCTTTTTTTTCTTGCTATGTATGGGTTTATGCTTGTCTTCATTCAAAATGTAGATCTTCCTTCCATGTCCAAATGATCACATGATCTTTATCTCTTACTGATCTCTTCAACTGCCAGCATAATGAATACTTCTCCCATTCCCATCTTTTTGGCATTCAAATTAAATTCCATCAGGACTGTGCATATTTTAAACATATTTTCATGGATTATTTCTTGTTTAGTTGCACCCTTTCTGACAGACAGGAATTAATTCGGAAACCGAAAACTACCAAAAGGTAAAAAGTATGGCAGATCAATTTGAATTGGTTGTTAACATTGTCACATTTCCCCTTAACTATTCAGTGAAGAATTCCCATAGTACTTTTTGTTGCACTGACTTAGGCAGCAGCCTAAGACATTCCACTTTCCCTTTTAGTATGCATTATGATTCACCTGCTTCATCCCATCTTTTTCCTAAAGTATTATTTGGCCTACTAGGCATCCTTCTCACAGTGCTTCTTACTAGATCTAGATCTTATTTTGATATATTGCAATTTGGATTATATGATTTAATCTCTTCAGGGTACCTGGGCACAGACAATCATGCCTCATGCAGAGGGTGCCACACATGAATTTTAAGACCCTGAGAACTGTATTTCTCTGATGGTAAGCAGGGAAAACTCCATAAATAACTCCTAACCTGCTGAGCTAGAAGAAAGCACAGAAAGATAAAATCAGATTTACAGTGCTATATCCTTTTACATGCATCTAGTAATAGGAGCAATGTTTTCTTTCTTCAAAAACATCCCAATAGAAGTTATTAGCATAGTAAATGCTGTAGAAATCTATGAGTTTATGGGATGTGCTTTTCAAATTCAGGTTCAGGAAGAAGTGGCTCAAAGACAGCCTATGCAAAACCAAGGGATTGAGAGATGTGATTAGCAATCTCTCTCTCTCTCCCTCTCTCTCCTTTTTACTGCATGCACATGTGAATCTAAAGTTCTCACAAATGAACAGCATTGATATTTTGATTCTAAGCCAGGCAAATAACTTCAAAGAAATGCAGTGTGATAGGAAGTCATACCTTTTTGTTGCCACTGGCAAAGCATTTAATAGATTTGAAGTTTTAAGTGAGTAAGTTATATGTGGTATTTTGGCAGTTCCCATATGAACTATGCACTGTTTTTAGACTGACTTACTGTCATCTTTAGAAGGCTTGAGACTCCTGTAAGAGTGAATGCAAACTAAGCTTAACAGATCTAGAGCTTAAAGTTTTGTTTTCTTCCCTGTATAAAGCTGCAAGCGGACTCCTATTCTTCCTCTGAGAATGCCTTTGTCCTCCTGGACTAATATCAATCCAGTATGGATAAGCCCCTGATCAATCAAAGCATTCTGAAATACTGTTTTAAAACCACTAATGAATTTGTCAGAACAGTACACTTACCTCGCCCCATTCCACATTTTTAGGAGGTAAAGGATAGTGAGATGTAATATCATAAGCTATTTCTTCCATAAACCATTTAAAACTTTTGCAATTGTGATCTTCACGAAATTTCTTCAGGTCAGAGATATCACCATGTGCTAGTGCTTTTGTCTCAGGACGACTAGCATAGAAGTAATCTTTGTATTCATCCCACCAGACCTCCACAACTCGGACATAGTTCTGCAATGGGAAGACATATTAAACCTGAGCAACTTTGTGGGTCTCTCCCCACACCTATGTTATCTTGTAATGTAGCATTCATATTTCTTCATCTTTAAATGAACAAGATACCACTACTTTTAATATGTGGGTTAAAACTAATGCACTAAAGAGTAAGATTAGTATAAATGAAGTCTAGTCTATGGTCTATTTTAAAAACACAGGCTTCACCTTCAAAGTTGGAGATGATCCAACATATGCTGGAGGTGGATTCCCTTGCCATCCTTGAAGTCGATAAATATGCCCAACACGAGAACAAGGGACAAATTGCAGTTTCCCTCCACATTGCCAAATCTGAAAATTTTAAAAAGGTAAAAAAAAAAGAATTTCATAAGCAGAATATAATGCTGACATATGGTTTAAGACATGAGCTGTTGAATTTTGGGTTGTCATGACATAAAAACCCTGATGTGCTAAGAAACCATGATTTAGCATCTATGGACCAATCTATGGTTGGTTGTTGGGTTGTGAACTCTGGGTTGTTTAAACCATGAATTATTGTTATGTGCGAATCCAGAAATGTTGGGTTTTCATCCACATTACAGAGGTTGTTGGTAAAAGTGGTAAAAAAATGCTGCTCCTGCTGTTGCACATACCTGAACTATAGTACTAGAAAGGTATTTGTGATACAAGTAGGAAGCAGGTGAAGGAGGAAGGAAACAAACAACCCAGGGATTAAGAGAACAAACCACAGTTTGTTCAATCATCTTCCAGGCAAACCCAGCATAAGGGGACAAACCACAGGTAAAATAAACCACAGATTAGCATTAGGTGAAAATCAAGTAGTGGTTAACATTGCATCAAGCTGTAGACACTCCAGTCTTATCCATATGTAACAGTACGGCGTATGGGTTGAATTGTGTTTTATTGTTACATGTGGCCCCTATCTACACTATAGTTTAAGTATTGACTAACCACAAACAACTCAGAGTTCACAATTCATCAACAAACCATGAGTTCTCTTCCTTGGTTCTTTGTTAACAACCCATAGCTAAACTATAATGTAGGACTGCTTGTAATGACAATCCATAATTGAACAGCAAATGACAATTTATCAATAACCCATACACAATCCGTACTCTGGGATATGCTTAGGTGCAAACCAGATGTTCATGTTAGTCATTATTACTTTTGAAGACTTTCAGTACTATTGCCAAGAGGTCCAAAGAGATATGGTTCCACAGTAACATCCAAAGTGTCCTTATTATCACTTGTAAGAAAATTGTTAGAGGTACATGATGTTCATAGACAAGACTAATTTTAAAAAACTGGATTTCAGTCCATTTCTGAAATTATGTCTGCAAGTAATATTAGAAACCTATTTAATTTAATACTCACTTAAAAATCAAAAGGATCTAAAGGTAAATCTAATAGGGATCTTTTTTCTTATTTCTTTCTTATTGAAGTTCTCACTACATTTTACTCTGAAATATTTAGTAACTACTCATTTCGCCACTGCAGAATTTTCACTACAATTTCTAGGTAGGATCTGTGAATCTCTTAAAATACAGTATGCTTAGAAGTGCTCTACAAAGCACAACCCTTTGTTCCTGATTAGAAAGCAACAGACCAAACATTTTATTTTGTTGCATCAGATCTTTATATTACTTCAGATTATTTAACAGAATGGTCAGAATTCTAAGATGTGATATATTTCTTAAAGTGGAATCTATAGAGGTTTACCCAGAAATAGGTCTACTGTGGGGTTTTCTCTCCACAGGGTTCCTAAATTGTGCCTAGGAATGCAGTTCCTCTGCACTTCATCTTGTTAAGTAGTACAGTGCAACTTTTAAAAGCTAATGGGTTCAGACTGGGAAATGTTTAATCTGCAATAGCCATTTTTGAAATTCTCAACGTAACACTGCTCTAACCTCAGAATTACAAACTGAACCCTTCTACTTGAAAAAGGTTCCATTTGAAACATATCTGCAAACATTTTTATAGTGGTTTTCAGACTCCATCTTAGCAATACTCCCTATGTAAAAAAACAAAACAAAACAAAAAAACCTTCTTGAACCTTTCAAACTACAAGGCAGATGAGACATTCAGCATTCATTATTCTTTGCCCTAGGTCCAAAGAAGAAGAGCTGAAAATATGGCATTGTTAATAGTCCTATACTAAGAGAGAGATACAACTGGGAAAAAAGAATGCTACAAAAAACAAGATGTAGTCCCAACCCTTTGAAAAAAGAAGAGGAAGAAAAGAAAGTTCAAGGGACAGCAAAAATGCCATGTGACAAAGCTTGTTAGCATAGCACTAATTAGAGGCAGAATGATGAAGAGACAGATGGCACTGCAGTCACTAGACCAATCATGGCAACTTAAAACCTACATTTGAACATGGTCACACATTTATTTGAAGAATGACAGCTACTGACTCTTCTGACACCATTGTTTACCTTGTATGATATTTCAAAATTTTCACCGCCCCAGATTTGTAGACCTGGATCATAGAGACCCAGCTCAAAAAAAAAGTCACGTTCAATAGCAAATAATCCACCAGCCATTGCAGGTGATCTAGAAGACAGAAAAGCAACAGTTTGTGTGCTGCGTGTATAACAAACAATGCCTTTTATATAAACAAGCAGCCGTTGATGGCTAAATTGACAGAAATTATAAAGCTTTAATAGCATGTGACTCAAAATGCTCATCTGTTCAAGTTTACATCTTTATGTTATTTGTAAGGTGGTAATTTACTGAACACTGAGATATGCAATGAACAATGCAAACATTGTCAGGTACTCAGCTGACCAAAGCTTCATAATTTCTTGAAAATAGTTTGGAGTTTTAGTAAAGACATCATAAACTGAAAGTAAAATGAGCAGTAGCATCAGTTCTTAAAACTGCAATACCAAATAACCTGATAATAGACAAATATTATACAAATACATTTACTTTAGTTACAGGAAAAGGAGTTTTGGAAAATAAAAACAATTCTGGTTGCAGGATTAGTGAAGCATAATTGAATCAAAGCAGAACCACAGCCTCATTAGTTAGGGTAGCAAGCAAAGTTGTTAGCGATCTTCCTTTAGGCAAACACATTTTGTTTTTGAGCAGATAATTTTATTGGTAAAGCCAAAGAAAGCAGGATTGGAGAAATGAAGAAGAAAACCTCCTTTGATCATCAAATTGATAATCAACTATTTTTTTTCTTGCAAGTATCCATAGCTGCATTTTACTTGTTAGTTCATCTAGCTCAGGGGTCGGCAACCTTTAACACTGAAGAGCTATTTGGACCCGTTTCCCACACAAAAGAAAACACTGGGAGCTGCAAAACCCTTTCGACATCTAAAATGAAGGTAACACTGCATATATCGTTTTTTACCTTAATGCTATGTATATCTTCATTATGATTTAGCTGCAGCTCTTGTTCAGTCAATAAAACTGTTATTTTAAATCTTACATTATAAACTAGTAGGACTTTTTTCATTTATTTTGAATAGGAGAACAGCTTCCTGAACAGTCAAAGTCAGTGCTAAAGGGCTGCATGCATTAAACAGCAAACCCCATAAGTTTGTCAGTAGTCGGCTGTGCCGGAGATATAGGTGTGTTTAATGAGTGATTAGCGGATAAACAGTCAAGTGCTGTGAATTGTGGCAGGTCCCAAGCACAGCTTTTAACATTCAGCTGAAGGACATTACATTGGGATAAAGAGAATCCTTTTAGCAGCGTTTCGTGTAACATGAGAGCCTGCAGGAAGCTTGTTTAGCAGAGGAATGTAGCGATTTACTTAACTAGCTGATTTACTTAACTAGCTAGCCTGCCTTCCTGAGTGGAACAGATCAGTGGCTGTGCCGGTGCGTTTGAGCGACGGAGCCGCAGCATAGGGGTTAAAGAGCCACGTGAGGCTCCGGAGCCGTGGGTTGCTGACCCCTGATCTAGCTGGACAGGGAAAGGTAGGAACCTTTTTTCCTGCCCCAGGCCTACCACAATGTTTGAGAATGTCAGGGATTAGATGGCCTCTGCTATAAGCTTACCAAACGGTAATTCTGCTGATGTACCTGGTCCTATTGCTTTTCTTCTTTTCTAGTAGGGCCCAGTGATGAGGGTAGAAGCAGCCTGGCCAGCTGCTGCACCACTTTCTGTCTTCTTCTTTCTTTAGCTTTGGGCTTCCCAAATGCAGCATCACAAAGAAAGGCTGCACTGGGTATATGGGTCCAGGGGCATTTGAGGGGAAAATGCAGGAAAGCTGAAACAGCAACTTGGCCTGGTACTTTTCTACTTCAGTGCCACAAGTAGAAAATAGTTCTTAAAAAAAGAGAATGGCATTAGCCAAGATGGGCCCTGTGGGGCCCAGTACATTTCCCTACAGTACCATGTAAGCCCTGCCTTGCCAACTCCTTCAGTTAACCCAAGTGGCATGCATGCATTGGAACAAGAGAGATGTTTGATATCCTCATGGGTACATGATTCATGCTAAACATGCTATGCAATTTGTAGCCTTTCAATTTTCTTACCCTGAAGGTATAATGGTAATCATATGTTTTAAGAATCTAATTAGCAGGCATAGAGAACTAGGGGATAAGTGCATCACAAAGAAGATAAAAAGGAATTAGAAAAGCTACATGTATTTGATTATGGGTTAGTAGAAAGAATGATGCTTCTTGACAGAGCACTCTCTTAAAAGTCTGGAGAGTTCATACAATGTATTTAATAGTTCAGTACATCCTTCAGAAAAGGAGAAATGTGTAAGTGGTTTAGTGATTACCGATACGGCTCAGTTTTTGTCTTTCTCAATGCCTTCTCACGTTTGGTCAAGGGCACCCTCTTCCAGAGCATACTCCAGTCCCATGCTCCTCTAGCAAACCCATCTTCGTCACCACCCCCTTGGGGTACAATGTTATAAGTGTTGCCATCTATGACATCTATAAGCGGTACAGTGCATGTGGTTCTGCAGGATTATGGATGGTGGTGGTGAGGATGAAAGCAGGTACATGGTAGATTTAAACCAACCATGGTTCATGGAAAAGAAAGGGGAAAAAATGAAAGATTTAGATAAGCATGAGTTATAAAGATCAATAGAATAAAACAGCTTTCTTTACCGATATGGCTCAGTTTTATATTTTCTTTTTGCCTTTTCCTTGTGGCTTAATGGAATACGTTTCCATAGCAAGCTCCAGTCCCAGGCCCCTCTGGCAAAGCCATCTTCATCCCCACCTTGCTGTGGTTCAATGGAATAGTCATTCCCATCTATGTAATCTATTAGTGGTACAGCACATGTAGTTCTGAAACATTTATGGAAGGGGAAAAACAAGGTTAAGCTGCCTAATCCAGTAGGTCACCTGCTAGTTTTTATGTTTTATTCTGACATAATTAGAATAAATGTAATATATACATAAACAGCTATTTTTACAGAAGAGAAGTGGCAGTAGTGGTGGTGGTGGTGGTGGTAGGTAAGCAAGAATAAATGAGCAAGAACAAATCCAAACTAATGTATGAAACATTGATAAAGCAAATGACTGAAGGAATGTCTTTCACTGTTGGGAAATACACTATTGTACTGTTTCAAAGCAATACTGAAGATGAGATTGGTTTTAAACCATTACATTTTAGAATAGATATGATCTGAAGATCTGATCTTTAACTTTGCATGTATTTGACATATGCAAATGGAAACTGAGGTGGCAAAGCCAGAATCAGCTTTCCTACTTTTTCTGTACTGTTTAAAAAAACACAGACAAAAAGGAAAGGAACCAAGAGTAAATTGATCATGCTTCATCATTATTCATTGTTCAAACTTTTGAAAGGAGATCCCCAAAAGATGACTTTTGCGCTCTTACACCTTAATAAGGATCTTTTCTTTGTGTAAACGAGCATGTTAATCACTCACAACATGTTAATGCTATAATGGGATTCCAAATGTATATTATTCCAAGATTTCTGCTTCCTTTCGGTTTGCCCAATCTGCCAAGCCCCCTTAAACTGCTTGCATTATAAACGTCATTTACTATGCATTCAAAGTCTTCATGTCTGTAAGATGTTTACCCTGTTTTTCATGAAAATAACATATTACAAACAAAGTTTGCTAATATAACTATTATTCTCTCTAGAACAATCTTCAAGGTGAGGATAATATTTATCCACCAACCTGCAAATACATATTTTGGCAGCTTGGAGAATTAGTTAGAAATTTACTCACTCAGAAAGTATTGTTACCTGCCCTAGGTGAGCAACTACGTATAAGTCTATCTTTAAAGCCTTTAAGAAGTATAGAAAATAAGCAGAATATTATTACCTGTCTTTAGATATAGGAGCTATTAATGGTGCATACCAGTTTACTGCCACCTCACAGTGGGCATCAAGATAAATTAAAACCTTTAAAAACAAAGAAGAAAAATTTAACTCAGCTGAGATTTTCTTATACAAAACATACATAGATTTACTTGTGTTTCCCTTCATTTTATGTTGATATCCATTTTAACTATCTTTTAAAGCGCATATACCATTTTGCAATTAAGAACTGCAGTTAAAATAAATCAAGTGGTTTAAGATCTGTTATAAGCAAAATGCAGATTGTAGGGAAGGATTTTATTTAGCAAACAGTTTCTACCTGTCCAAGTTTAGCCTTCTGGGCTCCAATGCTTCTAGCTTGAATTAAACCTTCTCTCCTTTCATTTCGAAAAATCTTTACAAGGCCATTCCACTGTTTAATATAATCCTCTAGTCTTTCTTTTAAGTGTGCTATCAAATAATAAAAAAGAAGTTTCCATTTATGTTAATATATTTAGCTTTGAGCTTACAACACAAACTAAATCTATATTAAAAACAAACTACATGTAATTGACTAAATAGCTAGATTCTCAGATGATAGGGATCTTAAAATCATCCCTATCTGGTATATTTGCTAATATCTGCAAGCTCACTTAAGAACTACTTCCAGCATAGTTTGTATTTTTACAAAGAATGTAGGGAAGTTGAAAAGACATATGCCCTTACAATGCAGGAAAGGTCAGAGTAGAGAAAGTGAAGTGTGACTGCAGAGAAGCAAAACACCGGCCTCATACTTGTTTTTGATCCTTCTGCTAAAAAGTCAACAAGGGTTCAGTTATTTTCCAGCCACTTCCTCCATGGTTTTAACACAAGTAAGGAAATGTAACGATAGAACTTATCCTGATATAGTAACTATTCTATCTTTTCTACGTGCACCTTACTGCCTGTAAGCCTGTCTTTACTGAATGCAGGAGAGTGACAAATTAATAGCAGCTTTTTCACATGCCAAAAATAATCAAGATTTTAAGCCACATAATAAAATGTCAACATTTATAGACAATAATTCCAGAAGGTGAAGCAGGAGAGGTAATGTCCTCTCCACACAATAAATCTTAGAAATGTCTGAACTGGTAAGTGGATGCGGATATACAGAAAATTCTGAAATACCTTCAGTGAAACATTCTTCAGCAAAATTGACTCTTTATTAACATGCTACCAAATAAATGTGGTAGCAAAAAGCTGCTGTGAGCATTTTCAGTATTACACTATTGAGAAAATATACAAAAATATATAAAAGGTTTAAGAGGCTCATTTAAACTCCATTATATTCTGCTCTGAAAATCTGGAGGCAGGCTTTTGAAAAGTAAAAAAGTAATATATCAGAAATAAAAAAGAAGGGATAGTAGCATTCTTCCCAAATGCATTCCCTTTTTTTTCTCCTAAAAAATAATAAATTTTTGAAGACAGGGTGGGATATGTGCAGCATTTGTTCATAATTTTTACAGTGTATTAGTCTTGGTCATCTGCTTATCCATCTGTACAGGGCAGTTGTCATTGCTTATTCTATGTTCCCTGTTACACTTTAAAATAGCTAATGAAATATCTGCAGTTCCACAAGTAAATGTTAACACCTTCCTATACAAGCAAATACCCTTCACATTTCTCTGTTACTGAGTATTCCTAATGATGGTTGTATCACTCATTTATACTTCCATTAGGAACTCAGGTCACTAAGTCAATTCAAGGACTTCATTCTTACCTACTCACCCATCTTAACATACGACCCTGAATTATGACAGAATGTGGCATGGTGTTTTTGATTTGACATTTTAGGAGATCAGGGGAGTTCATTATATATTCAGATATCTCTGTTACAGTGATAAGCCTTTAAATTATGAAAATCCAAGGCTAATTTATGAAGTATTAAGTAATGCTTCTTACACTTCTAATTTTGCACAAAGTGCCCAAACATGAACATGGCAAACACTTATGGCATTAAAATAACTGTCAGGAGGAATATCCTTCCACTGATTTTGACATGAAGGCAACCTTTGTATTATCTCGGCCTTCATTTCAGATTTGAGAACAAAGAAGGCCATGATGAAGACAAGATTATTCTTTGGGAAGAGGAAGCACTGAATTTGGTTGTAAAGTCTTCATCTAAGGAAAGAAAAGGACAGACATGAGTAATATTTGAAAGCACTTCCACTTCTTCATTCAACAGGGTCATTATTCTTGCTAGAAAAAGAATAATCTTCCTGGAGAATAACTAAATTCAAATGAGCTCTGTGGTAAGAACAAACTGCAGTTATTCACGCAACATTTGAAATAACGCATTAGCAGATCTGTAGTAGAAGCACACTGCAAACTTCATCTAGAAATAAATAATACTCTAAAAAATTGTGTATTAGTCGTCAACCAAGAGCCAAAACAACTGTATACCAGTGCAGTATTTACCTGTTCATTCAAATTTCCTGCAGAATAACAAATTCATCTCTTACTACATTTCATATTTATACTGAAAGAATTTACCTTTATTGCTAAAATCATCAATTAAAACAATTTCAGCTAGGTATTTTCTTGGAGTTCTTTTAACTACACTGTGAACTGTTCTCATGAGTGTGGACCATCCTTCATTATGGAAGACAATGACAACACTGGAAGTGAGTAGGTTTTCATCATAATGCCAGTACTTGCACCTGCAACAGATAATGGTGTTATAGTTCAACTCTTTCCAAGTATCTTTGATCAGAGTATGCATATTTTCAGAACAAATATTTGAATTATATTCAGTGAATAAGCATGATCAAGTAGATCTATTCAGAACACCGGTTCAAGCTGACCCCACACCCATTGGAGGACTTTCTCTCATAGCATTTATTATATGTGACCCATGAGTGAAAAGTCCTACTTTCCCCCCATTAATATAGTAAAATAAACAGTTTTTCCCACCAAAAGTTGTCTACTTATAGAAGTAGTCAGTTTTTATCAAATGAGAATACAGGGTGGTATACAAGAATATGAACAATGAATTATTTTACACCCCATACAATTCAACAGAACACCACAATACTAACATAAACCATTATTATCTACCTATCTATCTATCTATCTATCTATCTATCTATCTATAATCTGTAGTCTACTGTGGATACTTTGAAGCCTGTTTAGGAGTTTTACAAACTACAGTGCCTGGTGGCTTAACCTGCTGCCAAAAAAGATGTACAATAGTTCCCAGGCATACTGTTTTAGGGAGGTCATTCCAAAGCTAGAGAACCACCACCAAGAAAATCTTCTGTTTTCCAACTGCACATCCCACTTCTGCCGAGGAAGGCATTTGGCACAGAGCCCCTCCAGAAGAGCTTAAGAAATCAGCAGGCTACTATAGGGCTGGGGGGCTATCTTCCTCAGGTATTTTAGAACTCAAAATAGCAGTAGCACAACTGAATTGGGCCTGAAAATGAAGAGGCAATCAGCGTAGTTTAACCATGGCAGGTCTTAATAACAGAGTGATGATATGAAGCCTGGCAATATTGAAGAAAGCAGTCTGACTCTAATTTATTCTATGGGTTCTACTGGAAGAATGGCAAGAAAGTTATTAAAATCCAACAGGTAATATACTTCCCTAGTGGCCAGAAGCCAAGATCGTTTTTGGAGCCATGCCAAGTCCTGATGCCCCTCACCTTGTTGGGAAGAGCACCAGAATCTGCACTCCCAATCATTCTGTAGATAAGGGCTGCTTTTGTTGTAAGAATTAAACTGTTTTCTTTTAGTGAAGCAGTTTTGCCTGAAGCTGAAGCATGGCTGAGGAATGGGTGTTGGAGCCTGTGTGCACTGACAGCCTCTGAAATAGTGGGAGAGAGGAACTTCATAAAATCCACAGCAAGAGACACTGTCTTTTGTTCTTGATTTGGGGAAAGGAAATCATGTGTTGTTCATCCAGGCAACCTTGGAGACGCACTGAGCATCATCTGGCCTATACAGGGAACTAATAGAGCCATAGATAAGGGGAATATAAGGATTGTTGTTGTTTATATTCTGCATCCATATTTGATCACTGTATTCAATAATATTATCATTGTCACAGATGGTTATGTTTCTTCCTACATATCCTTGAATCTAAAGTGAGATGCCATGGCTGTCCCAGGCCCCTAGGGATTCATATACCCCCATTCAATCTCATGTAACAGGTAAGTTATTTAAACATGCAGTATTAACAGGCAAGAGTTGTGTGGTCAGGCCAGAAGTCCAAGGGATCCTTCCACAGTAACCTCTAGTACCCAATTTATTTTATAAGGTTTTGAGGCAGTCTTTCAACCAATGCTGGAAAGATTAGTTAACATTCGTAGAACAACAGAAACGAAACACAATAATTAAACTAGAAAATCCCCAATCTATCAATAAAAACAGTGTAGTAATAAAAACAAGAAATAAAATGATCTACTAAAAGCCTCAAGGCAAAAACATAGGCATGTTCTGATGGAAAAAAAAGACCTATAATTCCTACCATGTGTCTGGGGCATGCTGGGTGTTGTAGGCAAATACATGGGATTGTGCCCTCATATAATAAAAAGGTTGTTACCAAGTACTGAACAAACTGATTGTGAACATACCCTTTTAAAAAACTTGTCCCCTGTAGCAAATGCTATGATCTATTTTCATTTCAAAGTAGATTCACAAGCAGCTAAACTCTTAACTATATAATCTCAGCTGTTATTGTACAGAACAACGGTGACATCCAGTGGCTGTTCACTGAATGACCAGCAATATTAGCAATACTATTCGTTAAACATGCTATTGTATTCTACACAGCCAGCTTGCCCATATATATGTGTGCATCTTTAAAAGACTGTGTGATTAAATATCATTAATATATTCTACATAAGGACAAAAGTGTGAAATAAGATGTTCAAAGCTTAATTATATTTCAAAGTGCTCAGCACCAAAGAAAAAATGTTTCCCAGGGCTGTACCACAGCCTGGTAAAACACAGGTAAAAACCTCTTCTGTGGTCAGAGGCTACAAAGGTAACAGCAACTGGAAACTACAGTAGGCTACCAAGCTCTGGCAAAATGTGTGGACTCCTGTTCTTCTAAGCAGAATTTTAGGAAGCTGATGCTGTTTGCAGTTTGTAATAGCCTGGAGTCCAAGGAATATCATGCCTCATATATTTCAGACTGGGGGTAACAATTTGATGTTCAAAATGCGTACTATGGCAAAAATTCCAAACTTCAAGTATAGTCTGATGAGATCTGATAGAAGTCATGGATCAAAGGGGGGGCACAGCAGCAGTGGACTGCTTGATGAAAATTTAAGCCCAGTGCACAACCATTGTGAAAAAAGGCAAATTCCACATTGTCATACATTAGGAACAGAATAGGGAGGTTTAGAACAAATAAAAGGAAATCTTCACCCACTGTATAGTCATACTGGGAATTTACGCCACAGGATGTGGTGATAACCACAAATTTGGATGGCTTTAAATGGGTTGGACAAATTCATGGAACAAACTATCAGTAGCTACTAGCTTTGCTCATTATGTGCTACCTCCATTACCGCAGGGAGCATGCCTGCATATACCAGTTGCTGAGGTCCCTGAGCAAGCAGAGGTGTTGCACCCATCCAGCTTGAGGGATCCTGTGATCCAATTTGGCTTTTTTATGTTCTTCTGTACTAGATTAATGCTATGAAAACGGGTGCATATGTGTACAGATAAGTAGATACATATAAGGAGAGAATCATTTTTCAAGTGTTTTGCTTTTAAACAAAATGTATCCTGCCACCTAGTGTTAGTTTTTTGTAAATCTTCTATTGTAGCAGCATTTTCACTCCTATTGCAGCTGCCAGAGGAAAAGCACTTACGATCTCTGTGTCCATTCACTATTAAATGCATTAGGGTATGGAATTTTCTGGTACTCTGAAAAGGCACTGCAAGCCCTAATGATGGCTCTCCTATTTTGTTACACAAATCATATTAAATGTATAATCCTATGCATGTTTAGATAATTCCCAACATTTCCCAGCAGTGGCTATTAGGATTGCACCCTAGGAGACAGATACTAGGGCAGAATTTCCACTATACTCTCATCACATATACAAATCACAGTTTATCCTAGTCTAAGCAGTAAGTCCTGTGGCACCTTAAAGATGAACACTTTTATTCTGGCATGGGTTTTTATAGATACTATCCATTTCATCAGAAGCATAAAGGGTTAACCTCAAGTTTTGGCAGATTAATATACACATACTGAAGTGGGGGAAATATCAACCATGCGGCCAAAAATTAAAATGGAAAAATATGTAGCCAGTGATAACCTGTATTTAGGAAAAAATATATAAATGACAAAGTGATATTTTGTCACTCTTGAACTTTTGTCGGGTAACAACATAGGCATCATAGCAATGGTTAGCAGATTAACATATATAACTATGATTCAAAAAATGAACAAACAAACAAAACTCCAAAGCCACTTTTGTCCTTGTTCAAACCACAGGAAAAAGAGTTGAATCTCTTGATCAGTTATACTGTGCAAAATTGTGTTGATATCTGTCCTTGAAATTCCTGTGTTTAAAAATGGTCATCTTAAGATCATTGACAGAAGATTTTGGGAACTGAAATGTTCTCCACTGGTTTCTGAATACTGCCCATGTCCACAAATATAACATTCGTTATCTTTTACAGAGAGTTTGGCCAGTTTTTCCCTTAGAGTACAGTAGGGCACTGTTGGCAAATGATGGCATATATCACACCAGGAGAACAGAAGGTTATAGTTTAGTAACATTCTAAATCTGTGACTGGCATTCTCTGAATCATCTTTCTGTGGCTTGCAAATGGTTAAAACTTCCCCAAATAATTTCAATACACCAGTCTGGATTTGTTGAATGTATGTACACTTTAGGTCATATTACTGGTCCATCTAGTTCAGCAATTCCTTATACACCAACTGGAGCTGCATTCAAGAGTATCCCAGTCCTAAAGACGCTGGAATTAAAACGGGGACCTTCTTTGTATAAAACTGATGTTTCACCATTGAGCTGTTTCTCTAAATAAAAGTTTTTCTACTCTTCCAGATCTGGAGGAGGCATGGAAATCACTTATGTGTCTGAGGCTGGACTGAGAGAAGCACATTACACATTCTAAAGTTCTTATGTTACCAAGTGCAAGAAAATGGAAAAACATATTATTTCTTGAAACAAACAAAAAACATGATATTTACACAATACAATTAGATTTAGTAGTTCTTAAAGAAATATGAAGAAATGAATGTTTTGCATATCTGTTGAAAGAAAACATTATACTGTTCATTTTGACTGAATTTAGTATAAGAACATGTCCTGCAGCAGGCTGTAAATTCAAAGCAGAAAAACTGACAGAAATTGGAGTAGCAGCTGAATGATTCTGTTCATAGCTCACATCTTGCAAAATGTTCTTTAGATGAACAGTTGAGTTGCAGTTGGCAGAACAATGGTTCTGATGAAGACAGCATGGCTGTTAAAACTTGAAACCATGCCTTATTAGGAAGTACATGGGGCATATCTTGCATGGAGCACAAAGGCACTGGAGAGGTTACATAAGGCTTCTCCATGGCTGGCCAAATCTTATCAACCCACCTCAGGAAAAAAAATGAAATGGAATCCAGGCTTAAGCATCAGTAATTATTACTCATTATATGAATGCCTATTAGAATATATATCATATCAAATAAAGGAATTAGAATGATGATCAAGCCATCATCAAACATTTCAAGTCCCATTGATTTCAATGGAAGAGTTAAGCAAGTGCTTACAACTCTCATAATAAAATGAATTGAATTCTTAGAAAAACTGAACTCTGGACAGATTATACCCTTGTTTTCATATTTAAAGCATTAAGGGCTAACAATCACTATGAATATAATATTGTGAATCACATGAATTTTAAACACCACTTTCAGTCACATACTCCTGGGAATATAGGCATTTTTCCTGGAGCTGTTGAGAAACACTATTATATTAATGGGATCTTTTAAAAGAAAAGAAAAACAATACAGCGGAAAAATGAAGAAGTACATAATAAGGGAAACCTACCTTAATTTGATAATACACAAGGAAAACAATTACTCTGACAAAATCTGGAGAAAGTAAAAGCAAGAGGTATGAGGCAAAATATAAGACCAAAATTATGTTTGTCATTAGCTACAGAAGGCTGGTATCATGGCAAAGGAAGTAAATTAAATGAAAGATTAGATAAAACCTTATTCATAACTTACATAGAATGAAAATGAAGTATTCCAACCACAATGTCCCTTATTGAAATTAAATTAAACATAAAAAACATTCCGTATCCATTAGAAATTTTAAAAAGGCAGATCAGATACTTACTCTTCTTGACGCAAGTCATTAACACTTCGATCTAGTGAAATCATATCACTTGCTACCATATTAAACCCAAATTCTTTAATGCTGGCTTGAATAGATTCTTTATACTCTGGTCCTAAAACATATGGCTTGGCTTCCTCACCAGGACCACCGACAACTCCATGCGGTTCAGGTTCTTTAGGTTCAAAATTACCAAGAATACCAGGTCGCAATACAGGATCATGGTAGATAAGTGTCTGTGGCTTAAATGTGAGATACTGTCGCTGCATAATGTTTTGTTGATCATTGTTACCACCAAGTGGATTCCCTTCATTTTTTGCCTTATTCCTTCGCCGAATTGATTCCAAGTCTACTTCCACACCTTCAACATGAGGCCAGGGTAACACAGGCTTGAATTTGTCATTTCCAGGAATCAAACCATGGTCTCCATTGTTTGGCATACGATCGATACTTTCTTTGTTATCCTGCACAAAAGAAAACATGAGCACAAAATGTCATAAAGCAAAATAGTTTGGCTTGTAGACCCTACTTCATTTTTTTCATGCCCTTTTTATGTGAATATTGTAATTCAAATGCCTGTGCAATCTATAGAATACTTATCTGAAGTGTATTCTACAGGTAAGCATATATATTTATTAATAATTTAAGGTAGGATAAATGCTCAAGAAGTTTGAAATCCACCTGTACAGCTCCTAAAACTCACAGCCATGTTTTGCAGCCTACTGCCCATATCTTTCAAAAACTGTATTCATGAGATTACACTCCTCACCCATATATGGACATCTTTTATGTGACTTCAAAGACAGTAAGAATTCATCCTTAATCATAGGGTCTGTCCCATCATTGAGAACCAGAACAGATCCCCTTCTCCCCATCCTTCTTTCATTTCCTTGCTTTCATCTCACTCACCTATGTGATGTCAACATTAAAAACATGAAAACACATAATCTGAAAAAAACAATAAATAAAACTACTCCATTTAAAATATAGGTACATATGGGAAGCCCCTACCATGGCCACATATGAAAATAAGGTATAACTTAGCATCACTTAAGGACTGGTCAACAAATTCAAGAAATTCATTTTTATTTATTCATTTATTCATTCACATTTTTATAGACCAACACAATAGCCATATGGCTCTCTGGGTGGTTTATAACAATTAAAAATAATCAAATGAAACAAAGTCCAAAATAGTAAGAAATCCAGATAATAAAACATCAATTTCAATAAAAACATCCATTCCAACAGCAGGAGTACTAATACAATAACCAGATTGGTCTACATCTTATAAATAAATAACAATTACAATTAGAAAAGTATAACTTTTAATATTTTGTGACAAGCAACATCTGTTAAAAATGAAACCTTAATCACAAACACACATACATACACAAGTTTCACACATTCCTGAACAAGGCAGTCTATACAGCATCTAACAACAAAAGTCAAACAGCTGAACAATTAAGACTTATGAAGCCAAAGGTGATGTGTAGTTCCTTATTATAATCCTGAAAAACTTTCCTTTCTTTAAAACAAAGAAAACTTGCAGCTACAAAAGTAAATGGCTCAATACAACATATGTGAGGCTCTAACAAATCCTTATATTGGCTTCCTTATATTGGCTTCTAAAATGATCTCTATCCCAAAACTGAGTGTCTAGCTAATGATTCTGAACCCTTGAGGGCCAGTAACACTAATTTCTTTCCTATTTTAAGTTTCAGTTTCTGCAGAAAATATCATACTTCTCCACAAGCCTCAGCTTCTCCTGAAAGAAAGAAATAACACAATGCAAGGCACAGCCTGATGGAAGAGAAATGGCAGCTCTGTTTCACTGGAGGGTAATTCATTACTAACAATCAAGGTATCACTGTTCTTTACAAATCCTTTGGCCCTGTCACTTGAGGACACAAACCACAACTGCAGAAAAGGATCTCTCAAAACTAATAAAACTAAACTGCCAGAGCTATTTGTGCACCTAGAATTCAGTCTTCGTACAAACTTAAATAAACACCACATATAAGCTAGGATGTATGGATTCTGTTAAATCCATTTCAGCTGTGTTTTGCAGATTGTCATAAGACCATCATTCTGTTAACTGCTCACTTATGGAATTCAAAATTCCATTCAACTTGTGCTTATCTGCATTAGCGCAAGTGCACATTAGTGCTAATATGCAATGCATATTAGTTAATGTGAATCTGTGCTAATCATCCTCACAAATGAAAAAGCAATCCTCAAGTCTGCAAAATCTGTACAGTTTGGAAAAAGCCAGTCAGCTACCGTGTTTTTCGCTCTATAAGACGCACCTGACCATAAGACACACCGAGTTTTTAGAGGAGGAAAACAAGAAAAAAAATATTCTGAATCAAATGGTTTACTAAACTATTTAATAAACTATAACAAAATACAGTAATACCGTATTTCAACCTTGTAAAGTGAATAGCAGTCAACAGTGGCATTAAGAACCATCATCACTACCATTAACAAAAGAGAGACTTTAAAGTTTGAGTACTCTTCTAGTTTTCGTTGAACCCATAGAACTCATCATCACTAGAGTCAGAATTTATGAAGCTCTGTTGCTCACAATCACTGACATCACCTTCTTAGTCAGTAGTGGAATTACTGAAGGAATCCACAATCTATATCAGTTATACAAGAGCTGCTGCAGACAATTCAATAACAAATCTAAAAAAGTCAGTAATGTCCACGCTGCCCTACTAGTAAATAATAGAAAAAACTTCTGACAAAAAATGAGATATTGTACGGTAAATCAAACACACAGTGGACTAAGTAGCCTTTGAAGACTAAACTTCATACACGAAGGTAATGCTGTTCAAATATCCACTGATCCTAAAAAAAATTTGTCTGATCAACTAACAGATAACTGATCCATGGAAAGCTTCCTGATAATCACAGGCACATTCCCCATCACTTCCCCATGGGCTTCATTAAAAGACGGGTTGCCATTTGAAAACACACACCGACCTGTGATTAACAGCTCTCACCTGTGCCGGAGGAGGGGGGCGGAGCAGGATGTGCTGAGCACGTGCCGGCCAGGTGGTGCCACGTGGGGCCGGCAGTGTGCCGGTGGTGGTCTTCCGGGTGGCGCGGCAGCGACAGGTCTTCCCAGGCGGTGGGGATGAGCAGTCCATCTCTCCGTGCGGCCGGCGGGTTAAAGCCCACGGCTCCTCCTCCTCTCCCCCTGAGTGGCACAGCTCTCACCTGCGCTGGGGGGGGGGGGCGGAGTAGGGCGCGCCGAGTGCTTGCCGGCCAGATGGTGCCACTTGCTGCCAGCGGGCTGGCAGCGTCCCGGGCGTCAGGCACACACACATTCGCTCTATAAGACGCACAGACATTTCCCCTTACTTTTGAGGGGGAAAAAAGTGCGTCTTATAGAGCGAAAAATACAGTATATATCCCCAGAATTTACACAACTCAGATTCTGGAATCCACAAGTCAAGAGACTTAGAAATCTGAACACATTTGGATCTGTTTTAAATCACTCTGTCCAAATCCTAAATATTTAGTGAAACATTTACGTTGGGTTTCTAAGGCAAAATATCAGCAGCATGTGGCCAACACAGCATGGAACTACAGTGAGTGCAACAATGGCTTATAATTTCAAGTCCATCCCATTTTTAAAAAAGGTGATTTGTACACATGCTCAAAAGCTTATTGGGTTATTGGAAAGAAAAAAAAAGGCTTAAGACTACTGTACAAACTACTGAGACATCCTGCAAATTACATCATCCTTGTTATGGACCCTCCTCCCATCACAGTACATATGTAAATAAAATGAATGGTGGGGAAAACTCTGTATCTGAGAAGAAAAGGCTTAATTGCTTTTTATGTAGTCTTTGTACAGAAATTTGGGAGATTGGTCTCGTTGCTATTAGTAACAATTCCCATATAGCTCAAAAGTCACAGGGAGGCCCCTGGCTGTTCTTATCCACATTCCCCTCCAAGCACAGAATGGAAGTCATTGCAGCTCCTTTTTGAAGCTGATGAAATCTTTACTTCTGTTTGGCTTGGACAGTGGCTATGACAGGAATTGCCAGGATCAACATTTTAGTTAAATGGGTTATATTAAATTATGAAAATGCTGTATTTTAACTTACAATACATGTTAGCAACGTTAGCTACTAAAAATGTTTCCAACAGCAGTAACTACAGACTAAATGCTGGCCTACTCAGGGACATTATCTTCCTGTTTGGCTACCCAGACTCTGAAAGTAAGTATACAAGGCCTTACTTTTTTAAATCACTCAGATAGTATATCTTCTGTCTGCATTTCATCCTTTAATGGGCAGGAACTGGTGTTCTCCATTCTCTACTACTTTTTATTAAAAATTTGTCTTGTACATTCATTTGTCCGTAAACACTAGAGCATGAGCTGCATAAATTTATGAAACTAGTACTACTACTTCAACAAACTGTGTCAAATGTGATGAAGTACTAATAAAAGAAAAAGAAAGATGAATAAATCTCAATGGTTGAATATTAGCTTAATTTGTGCAGTTACTATTTGATATACAGGGAACAACAGTGTAGAGCTTATAACCATTAAAATAAACAAAGCAATTGCTTTATAAACAAAGCAACAATCTAATACAGAAAGACGTAACAAAGCAAAATTGCACACCAAATGCAAAGCCATGGGAGGCATAACTTGTCAGGCATTATCACTGGATGGAAGCAACTCTGGGGCTAAATCAGACAAGCGAATTTTGAGTGAATTGCTTCTGATATTTATTCACAAGTAAAGCCCTTGTGAATGTAGCAGTACAAAGTACTCCTATTCAGGTTGCTAGCTACTTCCCCCTCTTCCTTGGTTTCTATCCTCCCACAAGAATGATCCAGTATTCAGAGAGAAGAAAATATAGTTCAGGCTAGTCTGTTGAACTAGCTGCAGTCATCCTAGTGCTGCATGACTGTATCTCGGCATCAGGGATAAGTTCCTAGATTAGCCAGGTATACATCACCAGGTACAGTTTTTGCTGTATTTGATTATGAAATGGGCAAGTCATGCCGAAAGGATTGTGGAAAAAGTGGGCCTAATGGTGTACAGTGTGTTTTAAGCAGCATGTGCTGCTAACATCATGAACACAGAATGGGGGGCAGGGGCTGAAAGGCTATCAGTTGCAGCTATTTTTATAATTCATTCTCACTATAATGCTTTATTCTGCATGGCTGAAATGGCAATGAATGTAATTTGTTAGTTTTATTCTTCAGGAACTCTGTAGAGACAGTGCAGGAATAAAAAATAGACATGCACTCATTCACAAAATTGTATAAGCCACTTTCAGCATGCAAAATTGGCAAGATTAGTATTAACTTTTTTAATCAGTTCATATTAATAGGCTTTCATGCACTTTTCTCTCAAGCTCTTCCTTCTCCAATCATATTCCAGTTCCTACTACAATTTCCATATACTTTTGTGGGGGAAAGATGTTTAAATGCT